ATGTGCCAACTGCAATGGGTAAAATAGCATTACTATCATTAAGTAACACACTTAATCATACAAGCATACTTTTTAATTCTTCTAACATTGCCACTCATATTTGATGGACAAGATGCTGAAGTGGCTTATAAAGTTTGACTTAGCTCATTAACAGAGAAAACTATATAAAATTGAAGAAAGAGAGAGTAGGGTTCTAACAGGAAAAGCAAAATTCCTGTACATCAGAATTGTTTAGAAAACATTGCAAGAACAACCTGTGCATCTTTAATTGCCATTCATTCAAGAAGAAGAACAGACCCTTATATCTAACAGATACACATACCCAAATTTCTATCATGATCCACCATCATTCTGTTTATTTTTAACATAAGCTGTTAAGGTTAAATTCATGAATTCTCTTCCCCCACAATCTTTGGAGATTTCTTTTATACTCTTACCTGTGACAGAACAAAAGAAAAAAAAAATGAATTAGGCAGCACCATACAATTAGGAGTGCTGGGCACCTCATGATCCCTCTTTTATCTTCCGAGAATTTGAACGTTTTGAAGGTTTCACAAACTCAGAACCTGAAAGTTGCTTGTACAGGAGATTCCAAAGGCACTGAGATGAACAGGTTAGGAAACCAAAGGAACAGGTATTGCTTTAAAGTGCCCAGCAGGGCTGACTGGTGCTTCTAATGTTCTAGTATCAGTGAGATTTCACCTTGTTGAGGTTGTAGAGGTGACGTTTCACAAAGTCCTCATGAAGCTTAGGGTATTGATAGAAGAGAAATAGCATGCAGCACTGAGAGCCACATCAAGGCATCAAGTTGCCTCAAGCAACCTAATAATTTGGCAGCCCTTCAAACCAGTGTTTCTAAAATAGGTTTAAACATGGGTTTGGAGATTCTAAACTATGTGGAAGGAAAGGGTGCCATGGTACCACTTACAGTTCTTCTTTCTCTGGCCCATTAGTGTGCGTGCGCTCAAAGAAAGACAAATGCCCTGAGATGAGGTGAACAGTCATGTCCCTCTTCACAAAAGGAAGTATGAATATCACCCCTGTTTCTTCAGTTAATATTCCGTGAAATGGCTTAGCAATTGTTCCCAATGACATTCATTATTTTCTGACAAGAATTCTGTTAGATTATATTTTCTCTATCTAATTATCTTCCCTTGGTTGATTCATTAACTTAGAGTAGTCAGGGCTAGATCAAAGGAACATAAGGTCTCAGAGATTTATATAATACAAGATCTATAATAGATATTTAACCTTAAGTGATTGTGTATTAAAAAAAATATTGTGGGCTATGGCTTTGCAGCTGGAACAGTGATTTGGTTTGGCGATTGGGAATGAGAGAGGATTTGTAGTAGGAGGATATACCTAAGAACGTGTCCTTCAGGGAAAATCATGAGCTTCCATGAGGGTGGATGAAAACTTCATAATATTCACATTGTATCAGAAGCTCCAGTTTGTATAATGGGGACAAATAATTTAACCATGGACCTCTTTGTCAGGCTGTTAAACTCACCACAAGGAAGTCTGAAAAACTGAGAACCTAGCTAGAATTGTCACATGCCCTAAAGGTGAGCCAGCGATTGCAGAAAAAGATATGCATGAATTGCAGGAAAAAAAGCACTTTATATACAGTACCAACCTCCTGGACAGAAAGTGGATGATATAACTGCTTCATTTCTACCTGCCAATCTCGTTCATGTGCTTGTTTTTGGCTCACCAGAGTGCCTCGTCATACACAGAAGAGAATGCTGGGGATGGCAATTGCAGATTAGCTAAATGGACTTTATACCAACTCATCACATAAATTGGTACTATTTTTGCCTGGACTGTCTATGGTTTCTACTAAGTTGGTAAAACAGGAACTCTGTGTTGTCAGGAAATAAGAGAAAAGATGTGAGAGAAAGCATGACTGAAAACGACCTGAGTCAGCCTTTTGCAACATTTAAAAGTGAGAAATATGAGACCAAAGAATCTGGAAACTTGCCTGGGTTAGCAAAATTTCCCAGTGTCAGTCAAAGACAGCAGTAGATATGTCTACTGATCCATTTTCTATAAACACAGAATGTCTATAAAGCAGACATTTACAGGTAAGGCTACCTTTGCCTGGTCAGAGAGAAGACAAGAGTTCAACATTCCACCTTTTCATGATAGTGAGCTATATGAAAATTCACCTGACAGTAACATACAGAATTTTTTCTATTTTAATTTGTGTAACAGTTTAGCTAACTACAGTCTACAAATAAATTGCATGAAAGCTGGCATTTTTTCTTGGTCCTTTAACAGAGTAGTGCATTAGATAGTACCAAGAGCACAGTCCATCAGGAGCTTCACAAGGAGAGCAACAGAACCAAAACATCTGGGCAAAGGGGTCTTTTCTGAGACTGATACTCCAACCAGGGACCATTTATGGAGATAACCTAGAACCCCTGCACAGATGTAACCCATAGCAGCTCAGTCTACAAGTGGGTTCCGTAGTAATGGAAACAAGGACTGTCTCTGACATAAACTCATGTCAAAGACATGGCTATTTGACAACCTCCCATTGAGGGGGAACAGCTGTGCAAGGCCACAGAATAAGACAATGCAGCCAGTCCTGATGAGACCTAATAGGGTAGGGTCAGATGGAAGGGGAGAAGGGCCGCACCTATCAGTGGACTGGGGGTGGGACGTGGGAGGAGATGAGGAAGGGATCGTAGGGTTGGGAGGGGACAGAGGAGAGGGCTACAGCTGGGATACAAAGTGATTAAACTGTAATTAATTAAAAATAAATTAATTAAAATACTAACAAAAACAAAAAGAACAGTCCATTGTAGAAATCATGCTACCTAATATGAGCTTTACGATCTACAAGCACTGTCCTTACACCATGTTCCCTGACTTATTAGAGTACTTCCTTGTCTTTAAAGTAGAAACCACTGTGTCTCTGGTGCATACACTAAATGCAGTGGGGCTACTGGGCATGGTTTTATAAAAGATAGTGTTAATAATTATCTTTAATCAGTGTAATTAGTTATAGTAATTAATTACCAAGAATAGATCACACTTTTAGAACTGAATGTGATATGAAAGCACTAATTCAGCAGTACCTAATAGGAAGAGAGAATGATGCCATATTTTTCTGTGTCTGTTGGGTTTCTTCATATGAAAGCTGTTAACACAAATTCTAGACTTCAGTATCAGGATAAGAGCACCAAAATTATAGAACATTAAGTGTGTATCTCAGCAAGCATCTTACTTATACCCATTTATCATCTTTCTATTATTCAGGTTCCTCTTCAAGCTTCCAGGAGGTAAAGGCAGGAAGACCAGTACTTCTAGGTCACCTTCAGAGTGATTTCTAGGCCAGCCTGAGGTATATGAGATGCTGCTCCCCACTTTCCCAACAAAAAAAAGCAAAAATCCACAAATACCACTGGGGAAAAAATAGGTAATGTAGCTCAAACAGCAGCTTGTCATTAACTGATCTTGGTCACTGTGCCTGGACCTTCAACAGAGAAAAGAAATGTTCTGAAGTGGCTGGGCCCTATCATTGACACACAGGACACTTTTCATTACACAGATGAAATCTAGTGTGATCTTTAGAACAAAGTTCATCCTGGTTCTCAACAATTTTAAATCCATGGGGCTTCCAGGGTTTCTGAATCTCTCCAGCCAGTGCCCTGCATGTCCTTGACAAACATGTTATCATCTGACCTCAGCCATCACTCATCTGTTCTCCAGGTTTCATTACTCTGTGCCACTGCACTTTCTTCTGTCTACAATACTAAACTTTAGATCTCCACTTGGATCTTAGTTGGCTTTGTTTTCTGTTGGCTGTCCATTGTGTGTAAAGACAAGATTTCAGCAGACTTGGTCAACAAGGTTCCCAGGTGATAGAGCGGGCCCCATGTAAAACAGTACACATTACTGTGCTGTGAGCTAAGGCGTTCTCTTGGTGCCTTATACCAGCCTTTAAATGGTTTATGTAAACGTAGCCTAAGGCAACTGAAGTAGGTTTGTCTGACTCGTGGGCCAGGATGGCCATATGCATATAGCCCACCACAGAAGGGCCTGGAAATACACTTTAACCAAAAGAGAAGAAACTAGACATACATAAGGAAGTTCTGTAACAACTAAAATAGAATTCCATCTTCTAAATACCAGTATTTCCTCTATTATTTGAAAAATTACAACCTTGTGTACTAGCTGGTTTTGTATCAGCTTGACACAAGCTAGAGTCATCACGGAGGAAGGAGCCTCCATGGAGGAAATGCCTCCAGGAGATCCAATTGCACAGCGTTTTCTCTATTAGTGATCAATTATGGGTGGTTCCATCCCTGGGCTATTAGTCCTGGTTCTATAAGACAGAAGGCTGAGCAAGCCAGGGGAAGCAAGCCAGGAAGCAGCACCCCTCTATGAGGTCTGCATCAGCTCCTGCCTCCAGGTTCCTGCCCTATTTGAGTTCTTTTCCTGACTTCCTTTGGTGATGAACACCAGAGTGAAAGTGTAAGCTGAATAAACCCTTTCCTCCCCATGTTGCTTTTTGGTCACGGTGTTTTGTCACAGTGAGAGAAACCCTAACTAAGACACCTTCAAAAGGTTGTACCATATTCTCTGTGAAGAAACTTTTAGATGTAGAATAGTTGTAGATGTAATCATTATCTGAAATGATTCCAAAATCAGATAAGTTCATGGCATATTGATTAAAAACCTCAGATGTAAGTAAATTCCACTTTAGGATAGTTCTTTTCTTCTTCCTTGCTGTGTTATGGGTTGAAACCAGAGCTTCATAAAGGCTTGACAAACATTCTCTCATTGAGCTATATCTCCAACCCTACTTTCAGGGTGGATTTGAACTTGCTCTGTCTCAGCCTCCTAGGTAACAGATAACAGGCCTGTTCCACCCAGAGCATTTCTAATAGCCACCTCCATTGTATCTGTCCTAGTTGTCCTCGTTTTTTTCACCATGGTTATAACAAATACCATGACCCAAAGCAACATGAGAGAGGAAAGGTTTTATTTGGCTTACACTTTTATATCACATCAGAAATATCAGGACAGGAACTCAGGACAGACACCTGGAAGCAGGACTGGAGCAGAGATCACAGAGGAAGACTGCTTACCAGCATTCTTTCCATTGTTTTCTTGGTGACTTTTTTTTTAACAAAGCCAAGGCCCACCTGCCAACTGATGGTACCACTCAGAGTGAGCCGGACTCTCCCACATCAATAAAAAATCAAGAAAATACCCTACACACAGGCTCACAGGCCAACTGTAGAAAAACAATGCCTCCGTGAATATTCCCTCTTTCAAAGTAAGTCTAGGTTTGTGTCAGGTTGACAAAAGCAATGACATTCCACATATGTCAACTTTGAGACACAAACACAGAACCTTATTCCAAATCTTATTCATTTCTTGTCCTTAAGATATTATGTTAACGCCATAATACAAAACAGTCCAAAAGTTAAAAGTTCCAGGGTCTTAAAAATTTCAACACTTAAAAGTTCAAGAACTTTTAAATACAGAAAGTCTCCTAACTGAGCTCTTATAAAATCAGAATCAGGTTGCATACTTACTCCAAGACAGAAGAAGCAAGGCACAGTTAGAGTCAAATCAGAGGAAATAACACACAGCAATGTAAATCAAATTTTGTTAGTTACAGTGTCCTGAGTCTGTAATTCACGATGCTCTGGGCTTGGGCAAATTCTGGAAATTACACTCATTGTAGATTAACATGCTCAGCCCTTCAAGTTCCTCAGCCTAGCCAAGACAAAAATGAAGACAGTTGCAATAATAGAGCTATTTAAGATCCCAAGAGGATTAACAAATGGCCTCTATGGAAATATATCTAGATTTGCAAAAATGAAAACTGTCCCTACTACTTAATTTAGGTGGAAGCAAATTATGTGTTGTTCTTAGAGCATATTTACTGTCTTAAGTCTGAACTCATAGCAACCTCTAATCACAGATAAGTTAAACATAAATGAAATTAAAACTACATTTTAAATTTAGTTCTCAATTGACACTACCCTCATTTCAGTGTGAGGGTACACAGATTCAGTGGCTATTCCATAGACACTGCACAAATCCTGTTAAGGTAGAATTTTTTATTCAACAGTTTGACTCCATCACCTTTGCTTCTAGAAATAGTTTGGGGGAATGTTCACCCTTTGCTAAAGCCATAACTTGGGAAAAGTATTCTGACACCTAAGATTACAAAGAACGAAGTAGAAATATATGACTACCGTAACCCAACATTCTGTCTTTAGGGCAGAGACAAAAGCAGCTGTGCTAATTTTAGTTTCTTTGGTTTGTTGTGCTTTGGTGTTTGTTGAAGGCTGAAATTCAAGGCCATCACAGCTGGAAAAGAAAAAAAAAAAAAACAGCATGAGGAATTCACTTCTACAACCCCTATGATATATAGTTCTAGGCTCTATCTTTATTACTTTTTTCTGCTGAAATGTTATTATTTATTTATTAATAATCTCTTATTTTTCAGATTACAATATAATTACAGCATTTAGCCCTTCCCTTTCCTTTCTCCAATTCCTTCAATATAGTCCTCTTTATTCTTTTCAATTTATGGCCTTTTTAATTGTTGTTACACACATATAATATAATATAATATAATATAATATAATATAATATAATATAAT